CTTACACGAGTTTGGCGTCACTCGCTCCGAGGAACTGGAGGTGAATCAGTGAATAGTGCAGGATATTCACTGATTGAGTAGCCAATCAGAGCGCGCGAAAAACACTATCCACTGTTTTAGTATATACTAAAACCCAATAAATACAAAACGAATTTTGACAAGCACCGCTGTAGCTTGTTTCGAAGCGCTTTATAAGCCCCATTAGCTATCCTAAAACCCCTTACGAAGATGTATAAGCCCAGTAGTTTACGCAATACAAACAGCTCAGTGATTAGAGCATCCGACCGTTGTACGGAAGGCCATAGGTTCAATTCCTCTCGGGGACTCATATTTTTTCATTGTCCTATGCTATGTGACATAATGATTTCATCATTTCTCAATATTATGGTAATACCCAGAGTACCCTCGCCTTCCATCAGTACAGGATTCTAGGGCCTAGGATTGCCTGCCTACCCCTCCCTTAACCAAACTTTTTGGCTTATTTGGAAGTTATTGTCAATTTGAGTTCAGGGAGGGGGTAGGTGGCCAGTTTACCCCTTCTCTCAAAGAAACTTTGGAATTGACAGTCAAGGGTCAATATTATTTTAACAAAAGCTTAAAACGTTGGTTCTTTCTAACTTAATCGCTCAAAACGCAATGATTCTTGATGGTCAAGAATAGACATAATCCACAATGGTAATTTACCCCCATTGTTTTTGTAACTGGGCGTTAAATAAACATTTGTTTCAAAGTCACTCGAGTAACATTAACTCTTTAAGTATAACTGAGTGGGGAACAATGCGGTGACAATTCGCTATTCAAATTCAATTAACTACACAAGTGAGTACTTAACTTCCCCCTAGCAACAATCCCCATCATTGTCTCTACTAATATGGGTAGGGAGAAAGCACCCCAGCTCCCCTCCCAATGTAGCTAACTATCTGGAAAATTTCATGAGTTCTAAGACCTCCTCTTGGTTTCTACAAATAATTTGTGAACGCTTAAACAGAAAACAACGCGGCATCGAAACCATACCTGAGCAAAGTCAACTCTTTCACATTTTGTTCCGCTGGTGAACGCGTTGAAGGAGGCGGCGCCGTCGAGGGCGCCGGAGGGCGTGCCACGAAACGCAATCCAGTTCACTACAGCGGATCCATTAGTACCAAGGCCTGATTCCAGCACGCAAATGCGGAAGCTGTTCTGTGTCACATCTGTAGTCCAAACGACCGCTGAATCGTGTACACTTAGCGATTCATTTTCATGGCTGATGGATGCGAGAACACGGATGTTACTGGAGCTGGAAAATACCTGAGGATATTGCACGGTTCTGCAGTGGAGCAGGCTTGGAGATACGACGGTGAAATTAACCTTTCCATGTTGCAGAAGACTTTGTCCTGAAAGTGGAAATTGTTGACAAGTGGGTAATGGAACAATTAGCGAGGTGGAATGGCGGTTCATTTCGGGTCGGTCACAAGCTATTTTCTACAAACTGGCAGCTCTGCGTGTTTTCAAATTACTGACTTATTTAAACAAGACGAGACTTTTGTTAAAGATAGTTAAGCAGCCCGTAAACTTTTAAGAAAATCAAAAAAAACATTCAGTAGTGTCACAAGGGATAAACGGGTACGCGTAAACTAAACTACTTGATGACCCTTGATACTACAGTCCACCAGAAGGAGGAGAACATCGAACTCAAAAGTTCACACTGAGGATGTAAATTGTGTATGGTAAAAATAAGGGTAAAATGTACTGCTTCGAGTGGTGCGCTTAATTTTTTATTCAGTGCCAAGTTTTATCGCGAGTTGAAAACTGTTTCGATGTCCCCCACCCCACCCCCTAAAATTCTCAAGTAACTCGAGTCTGTTTCTTTACTGTATTCTAGAATAAACTCATAAAGATGGAACTAAGTAAATCTTACCTTCAATCAGAAACGCTGCTGAAAACAAAATTAAAGTCGTCGCCACTATCCGTGCACCTGGGAACGCCCCCATCATCGCAGAGGAAGATGCAGCTGCTAGGGGCTTGACTTGTGCGCTTCGGGTATCGTCGATACCTCTGACAAATTCTCCCCCCGTTTGCCATTATAAGGCCGTATCGATTCAATTGATCAAGAAAAATATTCTCATCTACTGTTTCCGGGTACAATTTTAAGAGAATATAAGATATTAACAAAACGGAAGTAAAATAATGAGAGAGTAAAAAGTGAAAACTGCATTCTGATCAGATTGAAAGTAGTGTTGAGAATACAGAACTTGATCGATAAGGTGACGTATATAACTTATTAAAATTATGATAGAATTGTGCCAGGCCATCTGTCAAGCTCTGGGAGAAGAACTTTACATTGATCTTCAAAAATAACAACGAAAAAATGGTAGTCATTTCTTAATCCTTTAATATTGATGGAAATTGTAACTCATTCTACTTTAGGACGTGAAACCTCTAAAGTGGAGCTTTGCCAACTTTCTTCAGACTGACGAGATTAGGCAGACGTAATGTTGCAGTTAATTCTTCATTTCAGTTAATTTTTGATTTTCTTTGTTCTTGGGTATAGTAGCGTATGCTAAAGAATTTGAAACAAAGGAAGAATAAAAATGAACTGAAATTAAAAAAAATAACGGCAGAAAAAATATTTCATTTTCACTTTCCCACTTCGTACCGTGCGGTACACGTACACCCTGTTAATGAGCTTGGACTGCGACATGTTTTGAAGAGCGGACTTCATATTAAAGCGAAGAGAACATTTGGGATTGAACACTTACTCGACCGCTTCGAAAACAATGACATGTCCAAGAAATAATGTTCGTGCAGGTCTTCACGGAGAATAAAGATTACCTATTAACCTTTACAACATTAGCTAGGTAACAATATATAAGTACCTGTAAAGGGACATTACTTTATGGATTACAAGGTTAAGTTGCAGTTGGGCAACAGGGGCAACCACATGGTTAGAACTTAATCTGCTTCTGGGAAACAAAGTCCTGCTCATACTCACTCCTCCCCTCTACCCCCTACCTCGCCGTCCCATGAAATCTTTTCCCATTACGTTAGAGAAACTTATTACAAACGCATTTCAGTACCAAAATTGCACCATTATTAATACAGACAAAGAAATCATGCATTGCGAGGGGAATCAAAGTAAAAAAAGTAACGTAGTAGCACGTAACGTAGCACATTCATTAAGTGGTTCTTCGTCTACCTGATTCCTGGTTGAATTGGAATTTGTAAATGTTGATTTTTGAGGTGAGGGGAAAACAGAAGTACCCGGAGAAAAACCTCACAGGGCAAAGGAGAGACCCAACAACAAAATCATCCCACATATGGCGTCGACGAAGGGATTTGAACTCCGGCCGCAATGGTGAAAGGCGAGTGCTCTCACCACTGCGCCACCCTTGCTCCCCAAGGGGCAAGAAAAATTTACCAGTCAATGTAGGTAGACAGCTTCAACTAGGCTGGATCGGACCAAATACCAACCACCTGTCTACCGTGGTGTCCAGCGACTAAATTAATCAATCTACGCGATTTACATTGCAGGCCCCCACCTTTCCGGTATTACGCATATCTTTAAGCCCGACTACCGGCCGCTGTCGGGGGGGATCAATAACCGGGCTCAGGAGAGCGGCAGAAATCGAGCCTAACACTTCATCAAAAAGGAAAATTCGCCTCAATAAAGAGCAAGCTCTGTTAGCAAAGGGTTTTTTCCTCACAGGAGCAAACAGATTGCATGACTAAAAGACCTAAGGAGATTCCCTTTATTGCTTTTATAGTTTGGGTGTAAATCTACTACACGTGTTTGACATGAAAATCATTTCCGTCAACATAAGAAGAAAGACCAATGTATGAACAGCCGTGCTAAAACCGTTACCAACTGTAAAATTCTGTCCCGTAAGAGAAATAGTTTCTACCAATCAGAATTCATGCCAGTGAACAACAGGCAGTAGAAATGTAGTCACAAAACCAGTGGCTTTGACGAGGACGCCGGGCAATTTCATTAGATGTCTCTAACCCAAGCGTCATACGCACATAGTTGGTCATATGTCGCGCATGAAATCTTGATCAACTAAGAGACACAGACCAACAAAGACCGTCTTTGCTTTGACTCTTCAAGGCGCATAGTTATAGCATCAGTTCTGAGCGATGTGTATCCATGACGTTACGAGTCAAATTTTTCTCTACAAATACTCTTGCCATGTTCATCGTACTCAGCTTTAGTCACGCACATCTTGTTAAGAAACGTGTCTGTCTTGGACAGTGAAACTCCTCCTTCCCACGCATGCGTTATAGGCCTAGAACAAACACGATTCTCTCGTAAAGATGATAGTAGTGGCTCGGATATTACACCATCAAATTACAGTGTGGTGTAGCTGAAGGTTTAAGGGTCTGGGGACAGCCGCATATTCCGAAAATTCTCTAGCGTGAGTCAACATAGCATCAATAGTCGCAAATTCTTCATAGACAAAGTTCTTGAAGTCTATTCTTGGATTCGCTACTATATTATAACGTGAAATTTAATATAACGGACTATATAAAAATTTAATTCACTGGTTGGCGACGAATCGCAACACAGTCTCAACTTACAAGGCATATTACGCTACAAAATGTTGGTAAAGGTAAAACGATCAGGCTTTGTGCTAAGAGCACATTGCTTCTACATCTAAAAATACAAGAACTAGCTACTTGAACTACTGATGGAAAAAAAATCAGGAGCTCACTCAGGGAACCAGTATGGTAATAACCTAGTACAAAATCGCCCTTATGTAGCTTGTGTAGCAAGCGTTTCCGCGCGAGGTTGTAAAGAAAGCTGGGACGAAAGCAAAAAATAGGAATGAAGCGGGAGGGGGAGGGGGAGGAGGGGGAGAAGGAAACCTAACTAGCAACATAACTACAAAATCATGGCTTACTTTGAAGGACAATGAACAGCAACATCGACATCACAGGGAGCAAGAGATCGAACTTCAGAAAATCTAAAAAGGGAAGAAAAACAGGATTAGAGAACTAGGAATCACATGACGACCTCCTTGAAGGCGTCAGAGACTCAGAATCAATACGTAACAACAAGAGTGAGGAAATATATGAAGAAAACTAGGCAGTAACCTGTAACAACGCAACTGTAAGAGGCTCAACTAGTATATATACAGGGCGAAGTAATTGACTGATGCCTATCTTGCCTAGTTAAAGAGCGTAAAATATGGATCTTACAATAGAGGCCCGAGACTGCAGTAGAGATGAAATAATGAACAAAAACGACTACCGCATACTAAAAAGTGAAATATAACGATAACGCAACTCTACCTTAGATAAGACTTCCATATATATAAAAAAAGGAGCACATAAAGCTTGCTTTCAAATCGAGTCTACATGCTGAACGTCTAACATTCCTCTACCAAGCTTCAGATTCACAATAAAATCAATACTAAAGTTGGTTCTAGTTCTGATTATTCCTAGAAAATAATCTAACTTTACGCACTACTAGAAGGGCAGAAATCAAATAAAATAGACCTTTCCACGGTTTTTTCAACATTTGACATGCAAAAGTTAAGGAAAATCCGTAGACACCACTGGAAACAGCGCTTTTATTTTATTTTATTTATTTTATTAGATTCGCCAATTATTGGCAGGGTCACCGCAACAGCATGACGCCAGTTACTGTGGGCCCGTACCAGTCCCTTCCCCCATGAGAGATAGACCACCACACCGGGGACCTTTACGAAGAGTGTATGGGTTCTTTAACGTCCAACAGAATTTATATATGCAAGAGTTGTGAGACGGGGCCTACGGTTTATCGTCCTTATCCGAGAAGACTAGAAAGTCTAACCGTTTGCAGATGTCTCACAAAGGCAGCACTTTCTCCTCAGTTATTTAAAGACCCTGAGTTTTGGTCTGGCCGGGACTTGAACCAGCGGCCTCCCGCTCAGAAGACCGGCGCTTATCCAACTGAGCTAACCGGGCGGCGGTTTTATATTGGGTCTTAAACAAGCGAAGATGCAGCTCCGCAAAGTTACGAAAATTTACAAACGTTTCTAAGGCGGTGAGCAAGTTTGTTCGCCCCCCCCCCCCCCCCCCCCCCCCCCCCCCACTCCACCCGCCCCCCCTTTTATTTTTTTGTTTCCTGGGGGCTATAACGTTTTACCCACAAAAACCCAACACAAATAAAAAGAGGCCTTTTCAGCGGGGGGAGCGGGGTATTTGCAAACCCAACCAAGCAAAAGACAAAAAAAAAAAAAAAAAAAAAAACGAAATAAATAAAAGAAAACAAAACCCCCCCCCCCCCCCCTCCCCACGACCACCACCAGTACACATGCACATATGTAAAATTTCGTGACTCAGAGGAGCTATACCTTTGTACCGACAAATCACCTTACTGATTAAAAGGCGCTCTTTCCAGCGGAGTCGACGGATTTTCTCCAACCCGACCATGTCAAAAGTTAAAAAAAAAAAGGAAAAAAACGTGGAAATGTCTATTGCGCTGATATGGTTGACTGTTAGGCTCGGTTTACAATCGTTTCCTGCGCCCTCGTTCCGTTGATGGGCGGAGGATACAAACTGCTGGAAAACGACTTCCTCAAACGGCTGCAGAACAAGCCTAGTTGGCTGTGGGCTGGCTAAAAAACTAATGATTGTTTTTTGGCTTTCAAAGCTCGATGGTCTATTATTAGAAAGAGAGAACAACAGGTGGTTAATTACACTCTCTCTTTCATTCCAGGGAACAAAGAATTTCCTCCAGTTAGTAGTATGTTCATGTAGCAATGCGGCTGCATTTCTGAAAGAAAATGGAGTAACAGGTGTTACAAATGTCCTCCCGGGACGGGTATCTCAAAAAAGAGTCATTTTTCCTTAAGGGATCCTACTATTGAATCACCGAAAGACTCGACTGATTTTCGTCTACATTACTGATTTTTTGCTTCTTTCATTAGCATATGCTTTTTAGTCCTTGATCAAGCTATGGAAAAAAACATCTATGAGCATACAGTAATGCTACTAATCTCTCAAAATTTGTGCGCGATATACTGAACTCTTTCGAATCATTTTCTTTTAAAAGAAAAATAATCCGAAACATGTGAAATGTTAAAAAGAATGTATGGCTCATTAACTTTTTTGCCACCCCAAATTTTTACAGTTTTTGATGGCTACTATTTCCTTCGATATTGCTTGAGAAGGTGTGCGTGAGGCTGGCGACCTTGGCGCCTTGAAAACCGATATTGAGAAAAAAATAAAAACAAAAAAGCGACTGTTTGAAGAGACAAATTGACGTTTCCGCTTCGATGCCATTTATATTCGAAATGTTACTGTCATTATTTTTGAGGACTGCAATGATGAAGAGCACGTTGCGAGCGCTGTTTATAAAGTTTGATCGGTAACTTACAGCAAAAGAAAGGGAATACTGACTTGCTGGAGAGTTCCAATTCAAATTAATTTTGAGTATAAAGACAGAGGATGTTTATAGAAGTCTTAATTTGTAATTATGATATAGCGCAACATTCAGTTATGAAAACAGTTTAGTACTAAATGATTCCGTAGCAACATACCAGTAAAGGCAGTTTTGAGCTAAACTGCATCGTACAGACACAAGAACCTCTACAAAAAAATCACTTACCAATTGGCAACTGTTCTATGGCATGGTTAATTGCCTCTGGGATTCCCATTTCTTGGATTCCTACAAGCCAAAAGAGTTCCGTTACCATTTGACAAAACTCCAACAAACTCAGAAATGGAGGGAAGGGGCGCATTCAATCCAATGGAAGCCCAACGTTGACAGATTAACTATAAGTAAGTGTTTGTAGCAAGTTTTGTTTTTGACTCCTTACCTATATCCGATGGATGAAAAAGCAACTCAGGAACAGCAAATCTTTCATTGTTCATCCGTAAGATCTTTAAGAAAAGGGAAAAACATGTTACAATGTATTACATATATGGAAACATAACTTCGTTAAGTTCGGGGCCTGACTGTTTCTTTTACCTATGCAAGTAACAGGACAAAATGATTATCATTTTTTTTCTCACTAATTCACAGAGTTAAACATCTAACAGACTGCAAAACAGTCGGGTTTTTTTTTATCAAAATTGCTTTCAAAGAACCGTTGGCGTAAGATTTGCACTTGACCATAAGACGTGTTAGGCGAGGGAATATTTCATGTCTCTCCCCAGTGTCAAAACACTCGAAGGATTTAACCATATTGCACAAATACCTGTTCATTCTCTTTCTTTGATCCAAGCAACATTTCTGTTGCAGACTGAAAAAATAAAGAAGATAAATAACCTCAGCTTAAAATTTATAGAGGCTTGCCAGCACATATAATGTTATGAAGATTCCTTGTTCTTTTTGCCATAAAGAGAATAGTAGATTACATTTAATATTTAAATCACATCTATGATTGACAAACTGCTCCGACTGACCAGCCCCTAAATTGTTAAAATTAATTAGAACCTTCTATTTTAGTGGAGACTGTGACTAAAATTGCATCTCTCTGAAATAACCTTCACAAAAATCAACTATCAGTCTGTTTTTTCCTCAAAGTTTCTGTCTGTTGTCTTTTGCACTGAAATAATACATTATCCACATCAAAACTACACAAAACCTTAAAACAATGAATCCCACTGACCTTAACATAGCCTCTCTTTATGTGTGTGTAGTCAGGCAAAACATAGTCCCGCAATACTGAATTTTTTGTCCCTCTTAGCCTGCAGGGGGGCAAGTAAAAAATGCCTTAATCAATTAATTTTCTCCTTAAACTAAACACAGAATTAAGCCAAAGAAAGCATGTGCCATAAATATATTTTGCACTTGAAAGAATGCAGGACATCACACTTATTATATGCATGTATGTTTCATTCATTTTTTTTGTTTGTGTTATTGAGTGTAGGCTTGATTACCAGCCGCTGTACGGGAAAATGAGCCCACACTCATCCCCCAAAAGAGTCTCTCTTCGGGCAGGATCAAAAACCAGACCCAGGAGACGGCGGAAATCGAGCCTACATTGAGTGGAGTACATTAAATAAAATCAACCACTGGTATTAGAACAAAGAATGATGAAACTAAAAACTTCTTCTAGTAGAGGAGTTACACATAAACTTTTACATACTTAGCAACATTCATGTCCCTCAGGAAGTTGTCAGATACATAACAAGTGTCTTCTTTAACCTGTCCCAAGAATGAATTAAATTTAAAAACTTTACTTGAATGCTAAAATCAATTTAAAGGAAATGACTTTGGAAATAAAAGTCCACTAAAAGTTAAAAATGCCAATGTATAAAGAACATCATGCATACCAAAATTCATGGTTATCTAGAGTACAACTGTAGTAGGCAAGATGTAGCAATGATTGTTGTTTGTGAGCTGACATGAAATAAGTACATTGTTCCTGTATGGCATCTTATTTAAGCTACATTTACATTGCAGTTTCCAGACTGTCCAACCATCCCAATCTCGTCGGGATTCTTACGATTTTGCTTGAAAATCCCGAAACCTGACCAATATGCGATCGGGACAGGAAAAATCCCGATTTTAACATCGGTTCTGTTATTTTCAAATGAATTCTTATGATACTTATAAAAGAACACTTACAGAGCACATACTCAACTGAAAGTGATATCTGGAAAACTTCAAAAAACTGCACACGAAATATAAAATAAGATTGAGTACTTGTACACAAAATCATGTAAACATCGATTGGCAAAGATTTTAGACAGAAATTATCCTTTCAGAACACCAGAAATGGCATTTCAGAACATTAAGATTTAAAACGTTTTTGGGGGAGCATGCCCCCACAACCCCTTTGCAGTTTGCGCCTTTAGTGCTGGTGAGATTCATCAGTGATTGAAAAATATCCCAATTTTACTTACTTAAAAGGTTGGACAGTCTGAGTTCCTTTTCACCATATGTTTAACACAGTGAACAGTTTTATAAGGCCAGAGACTTTGGATGGATTAATTTGCAGCATAACTCTTATAGCCATCAGATTTGCTCATTGGAATTTGTCAGATTACAAGGACAAAAAATCCCACAGGCAAAAGTGATGGCTATACATCACTCAAATCACAATAGTTTTTACGAAGTTAATCATTTCTCACCTGATTCATCACATATGTTTCATCTAAGACATGCAATTGTCTGCAAATTCAGAAAACGGAATCAATTAAGGCAGGAATATCACAACAGTCAGTACATTGCAAATAACTTGATAACCATGCTATATACAATAATAAAAAACAAGTATGTGAGGTGAGTCATTCATGTTTTTCTAATTTCTTTACACAGTTGTGTAACAAAAGAAGGCAAAAAAGGCAAAGTACCAAATTTACCAAAATTTCCGAATTACATTACGCAATCTGCTGTCAAACACAAATGGTACCATGTGAACAGACTGACAAAGAGGTTTCAATAATGAAAGGTCATACTAAAACTATGGGATTTTGTTCACAAAGTCAAAAGTTAGAAGAAAGCTATATTTCACTCTGAGTGAAAAAAAGGTAAAAAAAACACTACTGAAATCCAATTTCTAAAGTTAAGGTAAGTTGTGACATTACTGTTGCGTTACACGTTATATGATTTTGTCATGCATCCTAGGGTTCCCATATTACAGTGTGCTTTTGTATGTGCCCGCAATAAATAGCTCGAACATGGACTCTGGTGTCTGTTCCTTCATTTCCGATCAGGCTTAGCATAGCAAAGTGATTATACAGGGTAGTACATGTATATTTGGTACCTCAATACAACCAATCCCAGTATTATTAGCAAATAATTTTCTACAGCCTCATAGGAATGAAATGGAAAGTGACCTCAGGTCACAACAGTTTATAACGGCGCTGGTGGCATATATACAACTTTAAAGGGCTGGAGTTCCATTCCAGTAAGGTGGTACAAGGGTATCTCTACTCCTATTGCCATGATTCTATGCCTCAGTCATAGTAACGTGTTAAAATATACGGTCCTGACAACATATCCTTGTTATAACAAACACATTTTTTGGCTCCATTGGCACTTCATTAGATGTAATTTTTTTTCATAATGCAACTTTTAACCTCAGAAAATTTATCATCACCAGAGGGAAAAAAACTGGGCTGACCAACCTCCCAGGTACATGCATGTGAGCTATCCATTTAACTGCTTTGTTTGTTTTTACATTTCTATGATACACATCTAAAAACAACAAGTATTAATTCATATACCAGTTTTATTTACCTGTAGGATATGATTTCCTTTAGATGATTTGTCAACAATTTACCACCAACATTAATTCTGCAAAAACATCCATAGGCAATGGCATACATTAAATTACCAACAACTTTACATTGCACATCAAAGATGATTAAATAATCAACAGCTTTCAGCCTATGAGCCTTCAAGAAGGAGCTGCAAAATGAAGGTAGTCTGCCTCACAGCCATTTTTATCGTCGCTAAAAACGGCTGGGAGGGAGACTAAGATGAAAATAGCCATCATAAAAAAAAGACACATCATAACAGCAGTTTAGTCATTTTTAACATAGACCTACTAGCCCCAACATCAACATGTATCTTCTCTACACTGTTCTTCATACATTCTTTATGGTACTGCTTTCAAGAGAGAATTTGTTCTAACATCACAACATTATTTTCATCTTTGGTGATCATTTCATTCATTCTCATGACCTGTCTGTTTGATCAGACAGTGTTATTGTTGGGAGAAATTGGATGTGGATCACTATTGGGACTATAATAAAGGGTTAAAAAAGCCACTTGTAATTTAATAGCTTGAAATAAACTGGGCCATAGACTGATAGTACATTAGTCTTCAATTCCTTTCATATACATGTACAAGTCACTATCTTTAAGGGAGGGCAAAATAACATTCTTGTGCTATTTATATCCTGGAAATATATAACCAGATTATTAATCATTTAAGCCCCAGCATTTAGACATAACAAATTCTTCAGACTGATCTCCATGAACATTTCCTTAAACAAATTGTTAAGAGGATTGAGAAAAGATCAATGAAAGCATTTTTCCTTTTCATCATTATCATGTCTCATCGCCCCAGTAGGTGCATAAGGCCTACACGCTATCTGACAAACGCTGTCTGTCTTGTGCAACCGCTTTGGCTACTTCTACCCTGCTTTGTTTCTCTCTTTCTCAACCGTCCTTCTCCAAGAGGTTTTTGGTCTTCCTCTCCCCCGCCAACCTTCAGGAGTCCATCATAATGCTTTAAAGCAGTCGTTCACACTCTCTCTTAAGTATGTGACCTAGCCAGTTCCACCCTCTTTGCCACACCTCACAGCTCTTTTGGTGATCACTTTATTAATGCTCATATAACCTTTTCTCTTGTTTACATATTGATACTGTTAGGAGAAAATTCATGTTGATCACTCTTGGGACTCAAAGGGGTTACAGACTTAAATTAGTTGACAACTTACCGTTTTACACCCTTCTTCATAGCTTTTCCATTGAAAACTGGAACAATATGAGTGAAGGAATATCCTGAGTCTACCACCACACAGACAAGGCGCTTCTCAGTTTCCTCATTATGGCTTTTGAACGCACTCAACTGAGC